TATGTAGGGGTTTCGGAATATTATCTCAGTACTGATTGGCCTTATGTTCCTCTCTTGTGTCATATTTCCAAGTTTGAAGAAGACACTAATCAGCTTCCATTTCCTCTAAGGTAACATCTTCTATGAACCTTTTTTTTTCTCGTCGCCTTCATCACACATTTTCTGTGAAACCCATTCCTGATTTATATGTTATGTTTCATGAATTTTCTTATCTTCATCTTCTGCATTTTTTCATTAGTTCGGGTTAGACACTTTTTTTATCACACTACTTTTGATTAATCATTTTATTGAATGTTCATCTTCACGGTTCTTATATTTTTTTTCACAAAACCTTGAAATCAATGTTTTGTTTCAGCTTACTTTCCTGTGTTTCGAAAAGTATTACTTTTTTTCCCATGCTTTATAGACATAAAATGGATTTCTGTTAAAACAGTGTGCTTTATACAACAACTTTTTTATGTGCTTTATAACGTATTCAAACATACATCATTCTTACTCCATCATTTCTACTATTAAATATTAAATTGCTTTCAACGTACTTTTCCTTTTCATGTTACACAAACCATATGACATTCAAGCAATGTACCATAACTGAATATCAGCTTTGGTTACAGTCTTCTTATTATATTATCTCGATATTGAGACATGCTTTCTTGCTATATTCTTGCTTTGAATACATCCAAGATGTTGATTACTATGTGTACAACTTCATCCTTTGAATACTTCCAACATGTTAACTACTTTTGGTATATGATGTAACATGAAAAGATATTATAAGAACATGAATATCATTAATTATAAATGTCTAATGTTTATATATGATTTCTATTTATTGCCATAACTCTCTCAAGAGGAACGAGGATCATCCCTAAATCTATCTTGTACACCTAGATAATCTTATAGAGAACGAATTTGCTTTTCGTGTGAAGTACCAACCAACTTATAATCAGGTGTCAGTTGTCAAGCTTACTCAGGATAAAGAAGTCATCTGAATGGTTACAGATGATATGGTTCCTACTCTGCTGTGTTTTGTGACACTACTAATTAGATTATTAATTTCAATATCCATTTTACTAATCATATAGTAAATAGTAACAGTTTTTGTAAATTATCACATTTATTCATTCAATCATTAGTTTTCTTAAATTTTGTGTAAAAATTTTAAAAAACTTTTATTTTAAAACAGAGGGAGTAATGTGAAACCAATGGCTGTGAAATTCATACAATGTTGCTCCATTTTCAGTGTAAAGGTATATACTAATCATCTAAATCAACGTCATAATAAAATTATATTCATCAAACTTTAGTGTTGTTGGCTAATAAATTCAATGTTCAATTTTTCACCTACCTAATTTAACTATACTGATACATTTATAATAAACATTTTTACTAGAATATGAATTTAAAATCTTAAAATTGCGTGTGTGAATTTCGTATCATGTTTGACACTTCATTTTGACAACAAGAAACAGACAGCTTGAACTTCTCAAAATGGTGCTTGATGTACTTGTAGTTGTACACAGTACTGGAAATAAATGGTACTGGAAAATGTACCAATAGATACAAATTTCTTGAGAACCACTTCGGCATTTAGGTGGAACCTACAAATCGAAGAATGTCTTTTTTGTGAAATGGACATTAATGGGTAGAGAGAATCGTCATGGAGAGCATGATTCTCTTTGTGACATGCACTGCACATCAATTATGTAAGCAGCTACCACGTCAATTATTTTTATGCACTCTCTTATTCCTTGATGTAATATTCTTCCTTTTTCTATTCCTTGTTTTTCATAGCATTACAAGGAAATTAATCATTTTATAACTCGTGTATTTTTTTCTTTTTTTGGTTACATCTCATGTGTATTTTGTAACATACTCATTAATAATTAATCAATATTTTACAACTCATATAAAAACTACATTGTTAAACTCTTAAATATTTTATAAAGTGAAACTCAAAAATTTATTTTTTAAATAGTAAAAATGAAGGAAGTATATTTTTTTATAGAGTTGAATGGAATTTTATTTGATGAAACCTTTAACTAATATGAAGAGGTAATAAAATGGCAGCCCCAAAACAGTGTATATTATGGGAGGTGGTGAAGGTTCTTCAGCTAGGGAAGCTCTGAAACACAAGTCAATGGAGAAAGTAGTTATGTGTGATATTGACAAGGTTAGTCTACTAATATATATAACTCATAGTTTTTTTAGCCGTCCCTCAAATTGAAAAATTAATAATTTTCATATTTATATTAATGGCAGTGTCATTTTTTTAATAAAATAAACAATGTTACTTTTTTTCTTCCAAAAATAAACAATGACAAATATATATATTTCTGTAGATTGATGAATATGTCTTTGGCCGGACGGTTGTTGATGTTGTGGTTTGCGGGATGTTACTGATTAGTAGTTTGGATGTGGATAAAATGTCCTGATGAGTTATTTTGGGGTAATTATGTTTATTATATTATTATATAATTATATGATTAGTCTTTTATCCTGAACTGATTTTAGGATGCAATGCAAAGGAAAGCTCTTGCTTCTGCAGCTGCTGCTGCTGCATTAGAAGAGGCCAATGCTACTGAATGCATAATAAGAAATTTAAGGTAATGACTACCCTTTGACCAGATGTTACTGATTAGTAGTTTGAATGTGGATAAAATGTCCTGATGAGTTATGTAGGGTAATTATGTTTATTATATGATTATTTAAATTATATAATTCTGCATTCTATTTCTGCATGTTCTTCTAGGTTAATAAAATAGTTGTTTCCACTAGTTACTTGTAGCATATAACCGAATCTTCAGTTTATTGATGACATTACCAACTTATCTAAAATTTCAAATCATTAGGAGAAGGGCCAAAAATGGTTATGAATTTATAGTTACTTGTAGTATGCTGATTGAATACCTTGTTGCATGTTTGACTAGAAAACTGAGGTAAATCTCTTTAGGGTATGTTTGGGAGGGAGGTTTAATCCTCAAATATTGGTTTTTATGTTGTGTTTTGATTTTATTGAATCTTAAAGATGTCCTGATGTTTGGTCTTTCATGTGTTTGATTGTTGTGCCATTAGAATTTTGTATACTTCAATATAAAATGATTGTTTTTTAATGACACAGATTGCTTCAGATGGACTCAAACATAGAGTGTTTGAGGTTTCTCTGGCTGATCTCCAAGGGGATGAAGATCCCGCTTTCAGGAAGATTAGGCTGTTCTCTGGCTGATCTCCAAGGCGAAAGCCACTGATCTGATTGAACAGTGAGATGTTAGGGGACTATTTCCATTCCTTTTCTAATTTTATGATGATTGTACAACAACATTTACTTGTTTGGAATTGCAGAGGTGAGCCAACAAAAGTTTTTTTAGGTATTGTAAACAGTACACTAGTTTTCACAAGCCTAAGCTGATTGCCATCATGGAAACTCGTTGTGACCAGTCCAAGCTCCAAAAATCTCTTCTCAAGTTGGGTTTTGATGGCTTTTGCTCTAATGAAAATCAATTTATGCAGGAGGCATTGCTATTGCTTGGATGGAGGAAGACATTAATGTAACTGTTATTCATAAAAAGTTTCAGTATATTCACCTCAAGATCCAACCTAAGCATGGTGCAACTTGGTGGTTTACTACTGTTTATGCTAGTCCTAATATAGAAACTAGAAGGATTATGTGGAATGACTTGTGTGAAATCAGCCTTACTGTGAGAGAGTCCTGGCTGGTGGCTGGGAGATTTCAACGACATTGCATTTGCTCATGAAAAGAAGGGTGAAGGTTGATTTAGCCATTCAAATATTGTTGTTTGTTGACGAACTAAGGTAGATTTAGGAGTGTTTTCACAGATTTTCTTTTTCGATACTTTTCAGAACCGATTCATTTCTTGTTTAGTTTGTTTTTAATAAGAAAAAAAATTAAGAATCTGTGTCGGTGTGTTCCCCGAGTTAGCTAGCAAACCATACACAACAATAATGAAAAAACGAAAATTCACATGCCTCAAGGATTTTAGGAGTGTTGTGTGGCTTGTGTTGTTTTGTGTTTTGTTACCGAGTTTTGATTCATATGTTAATAGGATTGTTTGCTGCTGGACATGAAGCTACAGCAACTGGGATCATGTGGACTATCATATACCTTACAAACCATCCACATTTCCTCAAAAAAGCCAAGGTATATTCACTATTTTTTTTTTTATCTGTTTTTATTTGAGATTTTAATGTTGCTTTGTCCTAAAAAAAAAGAGAAATTTCATGTATATCTATATTATAGGAATTTTCATTAGAAGAAGTATCTAGTATGAAGCATCCCGTTGAGCTGTTGAAAGAAGTGAAGAAGGTTTCTTTTACAGCTATTGTCCATGTTTTTATGGGTTCTTGTAATCATAACGTTGTTAAAAAGATTGAAAGTTTATTTGAGGATTTGATGAATGGCTTGAACTCTCTTCCCATTAATGTTCCTGGTTTTACTTTTCACAAAGCACTCAAGGTATTAAACACTTTATAGTCTTTCATCTCAAACTATGTGTTTACTATTAAGTCAACTCAGTTGATAGTAGTCGGAGAGCTTCGGATGCGAAACTGCGACGTTTTAAATATTTATGTTTGCATGATATTATTGTAGGCACAAGAGAAGATAGTGAAAATATTAGAACCTGTTGTGAGTGAAAGGAGGATGAAGATAAAAAATGGGCAACATATGGGAGAGAAAAAGGATTTTATGGATATTCTATTAGATATGAAAGATGTGAATGGTAGAAAAATGAAGGACGGAGATATTAGTGATTTATTAATAGGACTATTAGCTGCTGGACATGAATCTACAGCAACTGGGATCATGTGGGCTCTAAGATTTAGTGTATGGGCTCTAAGGTTCTTATTTTCACAATTTTTCTTTACATTTCGTATTCAAATTTAATTCTGGGTTTTGATTTCTTTGTTTTCTCTGAATTTGCAGAGCTGATTACTTTGCAAAAAAGGATTGGTATGATATCAAAGCTCCTTTAGTTTTTTAGATGAAAAATGTTGGCAAAACCCTCGTTTCTTGTACTCAGGGATCTAAGGTATGATATCAAAACTCTTGAGTGATTGTTGAATCTGCATTAGTTTTTAAATACAACTTAATTAAGTGTTAACCATGTAAATGCTTATGTATTACTAGTAATTATATTGAGAAAATATAGCATAAAGTTAAGTAGTGAAGTTGCTACCTAGTATTGTGTGTTTTGATATTATTGAATCTTAAGGATGTCCTTATGTTTGGTCTTTAATGTGTTTGATTGTTGTGCCATTAGAGTTTTGTATACTTCAATATAAAATGATTGTTTTGTAATGACACATATTGCTTCAGCTGGACTCAAACATAGAGTGTTTTAGGTTTCTCTGGCTGATCTCCAAGGGGATGAAGAACACGCTTTCAGGAAGATTAGCCTTAGAACCGAGAATGTTCAAGGAAAGAATCTCCTGACAAATTTCTGGGTGTGATAAGTTGCTGCAGCTATTCTCTATGGTTATATTGTTGTTAGGTGTTATTGTTATTAATTTTTAATTTGAATCTTTAGGGGATGAGTCTCACCACTGACAAATTGAGGTCGTTGGTGCGTAAGTGGCAAACACTAATTGAAGCCCATGTGGATGTGAAGACATCTGACAACTACACATTGAGGATGTTTTGAACTTGGAATTATGCTTTGTTTTTCTAAGATATTGCTTGTTACTAGTAATTTAAATAGACCTTTATTTGTACAGATTCGTAGGAAGATGAGAGAAATAATGACCAACCAAGCATCATTCTGTGATTTGAAAGAATTGGTTAGTATATGGTTATATGTTATAAACAATGGTGAAGTTTTAAACTATGTTGGGTTTTTAAAGTTGGACAAATATTGTCTGTCTTACTCCTATTGAACGGGTATATAATTTCGAAATGTCTTTCTTTTCAACACATGTTTTTGGTTGAGCTTTTCGATATAATAAGAAGGGATAAATGGGTTTGAACTTAGGATTATGCTTTGTTTTTTCTAAAGATATTGCTTGTTACTAGTAATTTAAATAGACCTATATTTGTTCAGATCCGTAGGAAGATGAGAGAAATCATGACCAACCAAGCATCATCCTGTGATTTGAAAGAATTCGTTAGTATATGGTTATATGTTATAAACAATGGTGAAGTTTTTAACTATGTTGGGTTTTTAAAGTGGGAGAAATACTGTCTGTCTGACTCCTATTGACTGAACTGGGAATGAAATCAATGTTACTCTTAGTCTTTTATCCCATTATGACCATAAGACTTATCTATAATGTCATAAACCTTATTTCCAGTCCTTTCTTTAGTTGTTGAAAACATTGCTTATTTTGAGAACGGATTTATATTTGACTCCCATTTGTTCCAGCTTGTTTATTGCTGACACGAAAATACAATTTTTTAGTCTGTTCTATGAATGTTTTTTTCGTGATTAATCCAGTTTGTTTTAGGCATTGGAGGTATTATAGCTCAGACACTGGAAGAGCAGATATTCCGCTGGTTTCGAGCAGCTGAGTTAACTTGTGATCGTGCAGCTCTTCTCATTGCTCAAGACCTTAAAGTATGCTTATGTCAAAATTTATAGTTTATCTATATATTGGTTTAATCAGAACTTATGTTAAATTTGTTGTTTTAATTATAAATATTCATTTTTTAACTGTATAAAAGGTTGTCATCTTTGTGCTCATGAAATTAGCCGGTGGATGCCCATCTTTGGCTGATCAACTAAATGTTGATGCATTCCTGTAGCATGCTCAATTTTATGAAAAGCTGCTTCCAGCCCTGTTGGATGGTACATAAGGTTTGTAGTAATATCGTTGGCACCACAATAAAGATGAATTTTGACATTTTTTGATGCATTCCTGTAGTATGCTCAATTTTATGAAAAGCTGCTTCCAGCCCTGTTGGATGGTACATAAGGTTTGTAGTAATATTGTTGGCACCACAATAAAGATTTTAGGTACATTAATAATTTTATTTGTTTGATTATACTGATTTATATACCATTCATCATTGATTTTAGCTTTGGCAGCACCCTTGTGCTTTATTATTTTTATTATCAAGTATATAAGTCTTTGGAGCTAAGAAGATAACTTAAATTTACCTAATTCAGTAGTTGAAATCATTTCATTCGGAAGAGGTTTATCGAGAACAACTGAGTCAGTATCAGTGTAGTAAGAATCATTTCTTGAGATGAATTGATACATATAAATTCTAGCACAAGCAGTAATAGCTGCAGACAACTGAACAGCTGAAATCCTTGGTTTCCAGTTAATTGGATCAGAAGTAGTATGGTAAGAAACTATATAGTTATCATCTTCTAGTTTATCACCCATGATAAAACTTATATATTTGACAATATAGTCATAACGTTTTTTATTGCAGATTTCTGTTTTTACGCTTTTAGGGTTAATGCCAAATGTACGGTATAGCGAATTCTATAATATTTTATAAATATAGAACAAAGCATCATTTTTCCCGTTTTTCCTTGCTTCTTGTCTTCTTTCGAATATGCCGGTAACAAAGCTCCCTTCTTTTGTTCAAACAAGTGCCCATTGAGTGGTGTTATCTGGTATCCTATGCTGCGCACATACTTTAATTATTCGCTATAAAACACACCAACGAATTCACCGGTGGGGAATAGTAGAGTATTTGTCTGTTTATCCCTATATGGTAGAAAAGGTCGTGATATAATAGGGCATACAACATGTGCCTCTATAAACCCAAACAAGTTGTCTAAATTTTCTTTTGCCAAATTAGCTTGCCAGGTTGGGATCCCAGCAGGCATTGAAAATGACTTCATTATACATAGTTAATATAGGAAACTTGTTTATAGATAGTGATATGAAGATAATCATATAATCATTTACTTAAAAATTGATTCCCTTTTGACAGATACTTCAGTTACTAGATAAGCATGGTTTTGTCAGACTTGTTATCTGTCTCATAAGTAAGGACCGTTTCTTACAGCTCTGTGAATAGGTTGAATACAGGGTCTAGGGTGCGTGGATTCTTGACACGGCTAATTGGTTGTGACCCCTAAAGAAAGAAACTTCTAAGAGATTGTTGGTTCAACCTTGAATGTGTCAATTAGATGAACACTACCATAATGATTGAACTAAAACACGCTTTCATGTGTCCAATCCTCGATAGAGGGAAAAAGTAGAGAGACAAAATTTTCCCTGTGAGATAGAAGTCTGTCTCGTTTTCTTTTTGTTGTCAGCTTATGGTTGTTATTCATTCATTTTGTAGAAAAAAAAAATAGACAGAAGAGATGACACACCCTTATCATTCTGCTAAATATTTAATTTTATTTTCTGAAGATTGTTGCTTATTTTGATATTTAGTGTTTGAAACTTTTTTCTTTCTGGTTGTGGACTTGTGTTTATCTGCTAATCATATTTAGCAGCATCTCAACTGAGGCATCAAATTTGCAATAAGAAGAATCTGAATATTATAGTGCAACATTGAAGAATGCCATGCTTCAAAAGAGTAGTGACTCAGATCCTCTTGATAAATCAACACAACATGACACAAGTACTTCTTCTTTAGAGAATATGGAGTCCAATTTCAATGGCTTCCGACGGCTTCACCGACAAGAGCGACGTGTTCAGAAAACTCAAAACGAAGTCTGAAAACAAGGTTCAAACTTCTACGCTTTTGTGATTTCAGTTACTCTATTTTGTTCTCTGATTCTCTAGAACACGTTTCAGATCTGTGATATCTGTGTGCTACTTAACTAACAGTGTCTTGTTAATTCCTCTAATAGTCTATAGCTGATGTAAATGTCTTGATATTGTGTGTAGGTTGCTGATTTTGAGAAATATGATATCTGTGCTATGATGGATCCGCCAAATTGGACGCAGGAGAACTTTGCACTGGCAAGATACTAGTATGGTATTTCTATCACTGCCCTGTTGTAAATCATGTTCTTCATATCTAGTCTTATATGTGTCTACATGGGATGAAAATGCTTGTTTGTTATTTAATTTTATTATTATTCAGTTGTAAATTTGATGCATAGGTTTAACATGATTTGTCCAAACATATGCTATGCACACTTAGCTGCAACTCAGTTGGGGCAGTTCATGAAATTCGAGGATAAATCTGAGACATCCTCAAGCCATGGTGGACTGAGTGCTGCAGGAGCTGTACCTGTCCCCCAGCTTCCAAAATTGCAGGAAAGTGTGTGCAACTCTATGTTCTTCTGTTGAAGGCTTATTTGTTGACATAATGTTGTATATATAACTGTTCCAACCTATATTTTATCCTATCTTTGATTATAGGATATTTTATATACCAATATTTTCCATTATTCTTAGTACCTTTTTCCATGATTATTCAATTCTCTATTAATTTTAATCAAATTTCTTTCTTCTAAAAATTGAACCAATAACACTCCTTTTCAATAATATTTGTCAATTATTCTACACCGGTTTGTTTAGTTTCTTTTGCACAATTCAAACTGTTTTTGTACATGTTGAAATCAATATTGAAAAAGTGTAGATTAGATTGCTAGTTTATACGTTTGTTGGGGGTTATTTGATTAATTGTTTTTATTTATTTATGCAAATTTAGTTTCTGAAATTTAGTTTCTGAAATTTAAGATTCCCCTGAAAGAAACTTGTTTTGATGGGATTTCGTAAGATCAGTAGAATGTGTGCAAGACCACCAATCCAATCATTCACAAACCATAATTTTTGGGTATTGAGAGTCTGATGGTGTGAGGGAAAAAATAAAACTCATTGGAGTTTCCCATCTAGCAATCACTCGTCATTGCTTCTTCCCAAGCGTGTGAATCTATTTGCACGAGATTCCCTTGGGTGAAACTTGTTTTGCGCTAGTCTTCTTAGGTCTATGTTAACCTTGGGTGAGATTGGTCCATGCAACTCTGCTTGCTGCGAGTCTATAACCCATATCAGTGGCCTCTGTGCCGACTGGTTTAGTTTGACAGTGTCTGAGTTGTTTGCGAGGGTTTTGGTGATAGACTTGGATTTGATCTAGGACTCTGAGCTGTTTCTTTTATCCAGTTACCCTGCTTTGGATTTATTGGGACCTTTTAGGGTTTTATCACGCCCTCATGATGTGAGCTCTGATACCAAATTCACATTGGGATCAAGATTGATTTGAATTGCTTGATAGATTAACCCTATATAGAGATTACCAAAGTATATATCTATCTAAATAGATTACTATAAGGTTACAAACATCATCCCTTGATTATAGCTACAAGAACAAAAGCCCGTATCTATCTAGTTATGATTATAATTGGGAAGCTATATACAAAAGTAAATCAGGGAAGAGATCTCCACATTATTAAAGTGGAAGCAAACTTTGATACATAAGGAAATATTGAGACCATCCCTAGTAGATGATCAAAATTACCCTAAGATTTAATGAGATATTTTCATATCTTCTAACATTAATGGTACCGACGTCCTGATGATGTTGGTGAGCAGTACAGTGTTGGGTTGGGTTATTGGTTCATAAAAAATTCTTGTGAAAATTTGCAGGCTTGGACAAACTACTCAAAGAGCATCAAATCATATTGGAGGAAAGCATCATAGTCATTCAGACAGTGCACCTACAAGGAGTCTAGCATCATTTTCTCAAGATTATAGGAAATTAGCAATCGATTGCCTTAAGGTTTTACGTATAGAAATGCAGTTGGAGACAATATTTCATATGCAGGTTTGTCTAATGTGGTGTTATTTTTATGAGGTTGTTTGAGGAATAAGATTTTGATAATTTAATTGTTGCCAAACTTATCCAAAACACTATTTTGTGCAGGAAATGACAAATACAGAATACTTAGATGACCAAGATGCTGAAGAACCAGATGACTTCGTCATTTCTCTCACTGCACAGGTTTCTCATTCTTTCTCTGTATGTTATCTTTGTAAAGATTCCTAGTTGGATCCTTCGTAAAGATTATACTCCCCACATACGCAGAACTTGTGATATCCCTTTCTATATTAGAGAGCTTAGGATGATTTATATTATTAATGGAAGCTTGAAATATGAACTTTGGTTAGAGGCATAGATCACCGAATTTGGCTGCAACACCTTCAATAATCCAACCTAGTTCATAAACTGGTGCTTTCAATTTCAGATTCTATCCAGTTCCAATTCGTAGACTGGGGTTTCATAAGATCCATCTTTCTGAATTTATTGATGATTTGATGTTAATATTAATATTGATGTGGTTGTTGAAATATCTTTCTTAAGATCCATCTTTGGAATTGGATTGTGGTCTGGCCAAGCTATTAATTAAAAGTCAATACTATTTTGGGGGCATTTATAAGATCTCATTTGTATGTGTATTTAGAAGCTATTTTCAGAATTTCCCAAGAATAGTACACATAGAGTTAATGCACAGTTCCATCATTTTTTATGGCAGACATAGCTTATTCTTAAATTTGTACTATATGACCATTGTTTAATTATGTTATTTATTCGAATGCTCTCTTAGAAACTTTGGATTATGGAGATAAAACTAGCTAAAGGAACCATGCTCAGGAGGATTTGATTGTACATGTGATAAAGACAATTGTATTTTTGGTGAATGAATTTATAATATCACTATTATTAAAGGAGTTCTACAATATGCAGACTTTGCGAAATTGTCCTGTGAGTTTCCATTATGAGATTCTGTAGGATTAGACTTCTAATACTAAACTAAAAAGCACCATACACTCATCAAGATAAGACCATAATACTAATGTGGATGTTAAAGTCAAACTAAATTA